GACTGAGGCAGAAGCTGAGCCAGAATGGAGACACAGGTGGATGGAGGATACGCGCCAGGACAAATGGTGAAAAGGGCGGTTAGGGCCTTTGGGGGCAGTGCAATGGACAGGGGAAATGTATAAAAACGATGTTGGCTCTGAGGAATCCCAAAGAAGGTAAGCAAAATGGCAACTGCTCCAGGACTAGAGAAATTGCTGGAAGTGTTCCCAAGGAGCACAGAGGAATGCCAACAAGAGTTTCACTCCCAAAGGCTGCCTTTCAGCAGAGCAGCTCGAGGATCCCCGTGACGGTTTCATCTCCTCTAGACTACTCCTGGTAGTGCAGTGGTTAAAGCCTTTAGCTGCTAACCAAAAGGTCACTGGTTCAAACCCACCAGCTGCTCCACTGGAAACCCTATGGGGCAGTTCTACTGGGTCTAATAGGATCACCATGAGTTGGAATCAACTTGATGGCAGAGTGTGGGTTTTAGAACACTCCTCTTGTAAGCAGTTTGGGCTCACAGGAAGGGACTGGGCACGAAGATGGTGTAGACTCTTCAGCTCTTTACAACAGAAATACTCCCAAGTTAAATTCATGGTGAAGGTGGGGATAAAGCAAGGAACATGTCTCTTCCAGGTGGGCCAAGGACTCCTCATGGGAATCTAATGAGTTGAAAACCTTGCATATCAGTGTCCTTTGATATAGAACATTGATCAGGGTCCCCGTAACTACCAGCCCTAAACCCAATACACATTATGCTAGTCAGGGCCTTGGTTGAGTAGAAGGTGAGGGTTTTAATTCTACATTAGGTGAGGTTGATGGGTTGGGTAGTGCACCCTAGATCTGTTCTTTGGAACCTGCCCTTTTAGTCAGTGAGCTATTAGTAGTTCTATTGCCAAAGTGGAGATTCCATTCTGGCGTGGATCCCTCCAAATAGTGAATTTTCAGGAATCTAGGAAATGAGAGCACAGGTTCCCTGGGACACATGATGAAAAGTTTGAAGACAATGTTCCATCTTAGAAATATCTGTAGACACTGAGCTAGGGAGTGCAAAGATGAAAAATTCACACAGATGAGCTGCTTGAGAATAGACTCTAAGAACTGGACCCTTAAACAAATGATAACCTGGCTAAGAAGCTTCAGTATGGTGAGGGCACAGAAGAGAGAAGGATCACTTCTACCTGGGAAGGTGAGGAAGGATGGCAAGAGACTTAAGGTCAGTCTTAAAGGATAAGTAGGGTGAGGAAGTGAGAAAGGCTGTAAGTTATATGATGCACAGCAGACGATTGTGAAGAAGAGAACAGCTCAGAAAATGTTCCCCTAACATTGTACTGTCCCACGTGAAAGGGAACCAAAGGGTTGCTAACCAAATACTTCCAGACCCAAGTTTTGCTCTAACCTTTGGCATGAGGAAGGTAGAGGACCCATGACTGACAAGACCTGTGCTATCTTTCAACTGATGAGATGACTCCAGATGGTAAGAAAGGTGTGGCCTTGAGTAAAACCCTAGTATAAATGGGAGGGGGTGTCCTCGGTATAAGGGTGGTGGGGACTGGCTTACTAAATATGGCCTTGGATATGGGAAAGAGCTCATTTCCCTAATTGTCTACGCCACCAAGGTTCTAAGTAAAACACAACAGGAACCAAAATCCATAGGCAAAAAAAAAAAACCCAACGTGTAGAATTCTGAAGAGGCAGAGCACAGCTTGGCTGGGAAGGTGGGCAGTGGTTGTTTATCAGAATATTAATATATTTAAGATGAAAAGTAATCAATCAATAACCAAATGGCACAAGAAAAAAAATAAGGAAATAGCACAATAGAAGTATTTGAGAGTTTGAATTATTCCCTGTAGCCCCTTCCAAAACAAACAGTAAAGATTCTGCAAATCATCCCTTCTACTGATTACATAACAATGGAAACTGAATCTGAATATAAACTTCTCAGAATGTGATAGTTTATGAACTTGACTTCTTTCTCACATACTAAATGTAAATGTAATTTAAAAATAAATGACCTCTCTGGATTCTCTCACATGATTTAGAGTGGCTAGATTCTTTTCTGGGAGCTCTGGTAGCATAGTGCCTAAGGCATTTGACTGCTAACCAGAAGGCTGGCGGTTCAAACCCACCAGCCACTCCTCCGAAGGAAGGGTGGCCAATCTACTTCCACAGTGATACTGCCTCGGCAACGCAAGGAGGGGTCGCTATGAATCAGGTCCGACTCAATGGCACATAACAACAACAAAAACAAAATTCTTTTCTGAACAGATGCTCAAACTATAGAAAGACGCCATGTTAAACATAATGGACACAATAAGTGTGCTCTGGGTCTAAAAATGACTAGAAAAGGCAAATGCATAGAGACCAAAGTTTATCAGTGGTTGCCAGGGGCAGGTGGGAGTGGGAGAGGCAAAAGTAAGACCTGAGGGATAATGAGTTTCTGTTAAGGATGAAGAAAAGGTTTGGAAATGGATAATGGTGATGGTTGTACAACCTGGGAAATGTGGATAGTGTCACGGAACTGTACTTGTAAAAGTGGTTGAAACAGCAACTGTTTTGTTATGCATGTTTCAGCACAATAAAAGAATGACTGAAATTTGAATCAATTGGTTAAAGGATGACTAATTCCAACAAAGAGAACAAACAAACTCATTACCTGTATCTCCTGATACCACTTCCCTAATAATAAAGTGAAAGAGTATCACTTTCTTCATAACAAGTCAAACAGTATATCATCAGACTATTATTGGAGCCCTGGTGGTACAGTGGTTAAGTGATGGGCTGCCAACCTAAAGGTCAGCAGTTTGAACTTACCAGCCACTCGGGTAGGGTGGGAGGGAGTAAGGAAAATATGGCAATCTGCTTCTGTAAAGCTTCCAGCTTTGGAAACCCGATTTGGCAGTTCTACTCTGTCCTATGGGAGCTCTGGTAGCATAGTGGCTAAGGCACTTGACTGCTCACCAGAAGGCTGGCGGTTCAAACCCACCAGCCACTCCTCGGAAGGAAGGTTGGGCAATCCTACTTCCGTGGTGATACTGCCTCGGAAACCCAAGGAGGGGTCGCTATGAGTCAGGGCTGACTCGATGGCACATAACAACAACAACAACAACTCTGTCCTATTGGGTCACTATGAGTTGGAATGGACTCAATGGCCTAATTATTTATTAATTTGTGTTTAGAAAGATCACAATGTTACAACAATTAAACCACTGTCAAAAAAAAAAAAAAAAAAAAAAAAACTTTCTATATATATAAACAAACTGTCCTTTACCAGTAAGAAATGCAGCATTGTTCTCTTTTCCCCTTGAACTCATATTTCCATTCCACTTTTCCCACAGAACTTTCTCTCAGTGATTTAATGTTTGAATGGTTTTTATTAATCTTCCTATTATAGCTTATCTGTAACAAAATGTGTATAAAGTAAATTGCTTTTTTTCTATTAATTTCCTGTGACCATGAGACTTCAATGTTCTTCCGGTTTGAGCTATTACTACTAAGGTACAAGACTGATCTAAACAGCATCAATAATTGTGTATCAGAATGTTAATATAATTAACATAGTATAGTTTGGTTATAAATGTACTTCTAGAGAAGTGGATAGGTCTTATTTTTCTCCAGTTAATGCATATATCTATGGATGAGTATTAATAATTACTATACTAAGCTTATCATCAATTCCATCTTTTTTCAGATTTATAAATTAAAGCACTAAGAAATCCTACTCATACAAATAAGAAGGAAATGAAGGAGACCTATCACCAAAAAATATTTTTTTTATTGTTTATCCTTTGATAATTAGACTAGATCCCCCAATTTTACTGAAAGGAAAACAACATGACTTGCAAAAAGATTTGTGGCCCAGTTATTATAAGCATTTACTTCATCAACACAGGCGCTGATATTTTCCATAGTCCTTTGTTGGTGTGAACTGATTTTTGTACTCCAGGATAACATACCACAGTAAAATTTGGGATGGTTAAGAGCTGTGTTTTTCTTTTGTCAAGCGGGAGAAGGATGATTATAAACGACAAGATGGAAAAAAGATGGCAAAATCAGTTTTGAAGCAAATTAGTTTTAGGAAAGAGTACACATGGAACCAGGAAATTGGCTTTCTTTAATTGTAGATAACTTTCTTTCTTGTTTCCTTTGTTCTTTCCAAAGTTTTCACAAAGAGCATGTATATCTCTCACTATGACAGGAAACAAAAGTGGTAGAAAGGTGAAAGGTGGGGAAAAAGGTTCACTGTCTCAAGGCAGCTGCATGTGGCTACAGAGTTTGTGCCCAGAAGATGGCACCCAACCAGGGGCAAGTGAGAACCTAACCCACCTCACATGGTGTAGGGTTACATCCCTCCAGAGGGGGCACCATTGTCTAATTTGCAGGGGTAGGTCCATATGGTCGTCCACTCCCTCAGCTAGGTTTTGGCAGCCTCTTGTTGACTCCAGGTAGACCTCATTTTAGTACACTTCACAGAGAATGCATTTTATTTTATTTTATTTTTTTACAAATTGCAGGTCTGAGCAAGTCTATAGGTGCCATTTTCCCAACAGCATGTGCTCACTTCATGTCTGTGTCACATTTTGGTAATTCTCACAATACTTCAAACTTTTTCACAATGTTATTACACATTTAATAGACCACAGTATAATATAAACATAAATCTTATATGCACTAGGAAACCATAAAATTCACGTGAATTGCTTTATTGTGATATCTGCTTTATTGTGGTGCTCTGGAACCAAACCCACAATATCTCCAAGGTATACCTGTATTTTTTTCCTTCCACCATTGACTTCCATAGCTCATTTTTTTGGACCATTGCACTCACTCCAGAGTGGAAAATCAGTGCAATCAGGTTCACATCACGCTGACCTCAAGAAGTACCACAGCTCATGGATGGAAAACAAAAAAAATCAATCAGCAAGTAAAATGCTATAAATGAACATGATTATCTGAGCCTTCAGCAGAGCACTGTGGGCGATTTTTACCTCCACTATATTATACAATTCAATCTCCTTACCTCAGCAAGTGGGGAGGAATTTTGACAACAGTATCCAAACCACCCAGTGTTTCTGAAAAAGAAGAGTTAAAAATAAATCAAGACTGAGATTCTACGTTGTATATGAGTGCCACTGTTTATTTCTTTGCCCCCAAGAAACTTGAATAATTATAAATTTGTCAACTCTCAGTTATCTGCATGCAAGTCATCTGTAATTAAAAAATCCTTTCTTGCTAGCCCTAGTGACTTCCCCAGATCCTGCCTCACTATCAGAAGGGGAAATGTAAAAATTAGAACATTTCCCTATAGAGACAAATAATGAATAGTTAAGTTCCTAACCTCAACCAGAATGTTAATTTACTCTGGTTAAATCTGGCTACAATACTATTTACCCAAACTACCACTGCCATCAAGCTGAGTCCCACTCACAGAGACGCTACAGAACAGAGTGGAAATGCCCCATAGTGTTTCAAAGCTATAAATCTTAGTGGAAGCAGACTGTCACATCTTTCTCCCATGGAATAGCTGGTGGGTTGGAACCACTGATTTCTGGTTAGCAGCCAAGTACTTTAACCACTGTGCTACCAGGGTTCCTTAAAATACTATATATTAAAATAAAAATACAGAAAGAAATACTGTTTCTTTTAAATTACCGTTTCAGTATCTTTAAATAAAAACTTACTTAAAAAAAAAAATTGTACTATAGCAGCTCACCCTAAAATCTCATTAATCCAACCTGGATGCTCAATACTTTACCATTGTTTATAGATTGTTCACCCTGCCTGCAACTGTACAGATCATGAAAAGCAAACTAGTCTCTACTCAAAAACTACTCTGTTTGAATACCTCCAACTTGTCTCCAGTTTCTCAGTTCAAATTTGGATTTATTGTTTCTTCTCTTCTCCACTTGGAATTAACAAGTCCCATCAATTTGAATTATTCTTCTTGGGGAAGGAGAAATATCTCTTCCCAACTTGCCAGAGCCCAGATGGATCACTGGAGAACAAATGTATCTCTGCTGTTCAGGAGTAAGAGGCCACAGAGGGATGATCACATCTGGGCCTGTTGCTACCAACAGACCAAAGCAATGAGTATAAGAAAGACAACTGATCGTCAAAACAGAAAGACAGTCAGCCTGGTCAGTGGGATGGTGGCCACAGGCCAAGGGAGGAGGAAGGACTACTAAGATATCCTTAAGATGAGACAGGTTGAGAAGACAATGGAGTCCTGAAACACAAATGCCAGGAATAGCACTGTGGCACAGTGAATTATTTAATATGGCTCTTCTAGCCATGGTCTTTGTGACTCCCACCAGATGACTGGGTGGGACTATGCAAATATGAGGTGGTTGTGGCCCATCAAGGGAAATGGATACCTTGCTAATAATGTGAATAAGGTGCATGGCACTCTTGTGGGAGTTGTTGTTGTTGTTACGTGCCATTGAGTTGGACCCGATTCATAGTGACCCCTCCTTTGGTTTCCGAGGCAGCATCACTATGGAAGTAGATTGCCCTATCTTCCTTCCGAGGAGTGGCTGGTGGGTTTGAACCACCAGCCTTCTGGTTGGCAGTCAAGTGCTTCAGGCACTATGCTACCAGGGACTATGCAATAAAGTGTACGGAACCCTAATATGGGGATTGATTAGTTTTGCCATCTCACTAGGCTTAAAACGAGCCATCCAAGAGGCAGAAAGGGGGAATCTCATTACTATCAGGAGAGAAGAACCAGGAATGGAGCATGTCCTCTGGACTCAAGATCTCTGTGCTGACACAGCAGAGAGGTGGTGACAGCAGAACCAACAAAACCAAGAGAGCAGCATGAGACAGAGCAGCGGGCTTCCTGGCCCACAGAGTGAGAAAGCTGAGTGCCTTCGGACAGGAGGCTTGCTGGCAGATCAAGGTGCCTTTCTGGTCACCTATCAGCAAAGCTAAAAGAACTTTGTAACACTAGCCTGAGCAAGGCAGAGGCCAAGGCTAAAGAGAACCATGCTTGTGGCATGGCTGAGAAGCAGCTGTCCTGACTGAAGAACTGTGTCCTGAGTTGTTTCTGATTCTGAATTGCAACCTGTTACCGCCCTTAAAAAACAAAACAAAACAAAACAAAAAAACCACAACTCATAGTCATAAGTATTGTTTGTAAGATCTGTCTAGCCTTTGCGTGCAATTACTGAACCTGGGAGAGAAGTAGAGAGTGCCATGGGAGGGATAGTTGGTGTCAGAACTGATAAAACTTTTGGAGGGTAGCTGCATGTCCACCTCACAGGAACCAGCCTTGAGCTGTTGATGTTCATCCTAATTCTCTCACCCCCTTATGAAGTTAGAGGTCAGATGCCACCACCATGCCATTTTTGCAAGCTCAAAAAGCACATAGGTTAGTTCATACCCAGTTCACTGGGTGAGGACCACTGCTCAGGACAAATTGATACTCCGACCCAAAAGGATGCTCTGACACTGAAAAAGCAAATCATCATGGTTTTCCTCACCAGGCAGAGGGCTTATATCCAACTCAGTGACGTAGCAGTGCCACTCTACAGTGTCTCAGAAAGAGCAAAGAGAAAAATCAGCCAAAAGCAGCCACAGTGAGCCCCCATGCACTGTAAGACTGACCAGCAAAGGATAGCCCCCAGGATGTGTAGAAAAGGACAGAACTCAAGGAGAAAAGTAGCCAAAGGGCAAGCAGGGAAAGGCTGCAGCTTTCCAGTAGTCAGTCACTCATCTTTAGCCTAGCAAGATGGCTACAACTAGACGGCTAGTTCTTCTGTTCTCATGGTCGTAGAGCCTGAGGCTCCCATGGTCTACTAGTCCTTTAGACTAACTGTTTCCAAGCATCTTTGATTTTCTTCACTCTTCTTTCCTCCGAATAAGGAGAGACCAATAGTTGTATCTTAGATGGCACTTGCAAGCTTTTAAGACCCCAGTCACTACCACCAAAGTAGGATGTAAGAACTACGGAGAAAGTAGAGAGAATAGGGTTCAATTTCTGGCTCCAGAACAACATGTGACCCTGTTGCAATTTGAGGCAAGTCTCTTATGCTCTCTAAGCTTCAGTTCCTTCATCTCCAAAAAAAAAAAAAAAAAAGGACAACACCCACCTCATGGGGTTCTTATAAGGAGCTAGTGAAATGACAATTTTAAGGAGCCTGATGCAGTCCTTAGATGTTAGTATCAGTTCCTGTCTCCTTTCCTTGATTCACTGGCTAAACATTGGGCCAGGCACTATGGACATAATGATGAGGACAGACATGGTACCTGAACTCACGGTATGTACAAGCTATTTTCAAACTGTGATAAACACCATGAAGAGAAAGTATAGGGAATTAGGCAGAGTACTAATAACAGAAGGTATTACTGTGGGCTTTGGAGTCACAACTTCCTGCAGAGTGTGATGAGATCTGAAGAATTACTAGATATTAAGGGGCAATACAAGTAGAGAGATCAATAAATTCAAATTACATCAAGAACCCCAACCACTTTCCCCATTCCACAGCTGCCACTCTAGTTCATGCCACCATCTTTTCTTGTGGATGATATGCAATAGCCTCCTTTCTGGGCTTCCTGCTTCTTCCCCTGTTGCCTGCTTGTAATCTCTTCTCAACATAGTAGCTCAGAGATCCTATCAAGACCCAAGTCTGAGCATTCTTTTCTCCACTTGAAACTCTCTAATACTTCCCATGTCACTTAAAATAAAAGGCAAAATCCTTAGATAGGCCAAACAAGGGCCTTCATGGTCTGGCCTCTCATCTCCTTCTTCTCTTCCTTTGTTCAGTTGACTCCAACCATGTGGACTCTTTGCTCTTTCCTAAACTTACCTGGCACATCCCATCTCAGAGCCTTTGTACTTGCTCCTTGTGCCCAGAATGCTTTGCAGCAAGATATCTACATGGCTTGGTCCCTCACCTCCTTCAGTTCATTACTCAAATGCCACCCTTCTAGTAAGGTGTTGTCTGAACATCCAATTTTAAAATCATAATCCTCACTTCCCTCCAGGAGCATCTTATTCCCCTCACTGCTTCACGACCCCTTAGCTCTTATCACTTACCTAAATGGTCATTTTTCCAGGAGTTTGTAACTCCATGAAGGCAGGAAAGGATCTTTTTGCCTATTTTGCTCACTATGGTATACAGAGCACCTAGAACAATGCTTGGCGCACAGGAGACGTTCACTTAATATTTGATGAGTTATGAAATGGGAGGGAAGACAGCACATTTAAGTTATAGAAAGAAGTTCAGTGTGGCTGGAGTTCAGAGAGTGAGGATGAGCATAGGGCAGGATGAGGACAGCCAACCCGTGCAGGGCTTGGCAGAACACATTGAGGACTGTGATCTTCATCCTAATGGGATGCCATCCAATGTCTTCACATGGCAATGTCATGATCACACTTGGGCTTCTAAACTGGTACAACTTAGAAATAATTTGAAAAAATCCAGAGTAGATGAAGGAGGACCAGTTAGGAGGCTTTTACAGAAGTTCACATAAGAAAGGAACGTAGCTTAGACTGGAGAACTGGCAAGAGAGGTTGAGAGAAGTAGATGGGTTTGAGATATATTTAGGGGGTGAAAATGAGAACTTGCATGCCAGACAAGGTATAAAACTAAACTCCCTGCCGTGAAGTTGGATCCAACTCATAGCAACCCTTCCTTGGGTTTCTGGGCAGTATCCCTAGGAAGTAGATTGCCCAACCTTCCTTCTGAGGAGTGGCTGGTGGGTTTAAACCCCTAGCCTTCTGATTATCAGTCAAATGCCTTAGGCACTATGCCACCAGAGCTCCCAAATAAGATATGGTGATGAATTATAGAAATGTATCAATGATGACTCTAGGTTTCAGGCTTATGCAACTAGATAGGCAATGGTATCAGCTGATCATATACACACACCAGAAGTGAACCAGATTTGGGAGGTACGGGTGGGGGAACATCACAAGGTCACTTTTGGCTTTGCCTGTCTTCAGTGCCTCTCAGTTAATCAAGCAGAGATATTGAATAGATAGCTGCACTAGGATTTGGCTATTAGAGCATAGGTGTAGACTAGTGATAAAAATGTGGGCATCACTTATCTCATAAACTTAACTGAAGTG